GCAGGAATTGACAGATTGACCGACTTCATTTTCTTGATGCAGACCTCTATCTTTATGCAAAATCCATGAAGATCACCATCCTATGCTTATCCACGCATTGTACAAGAATGATACATTACATTGTACATCAGCTTGAGAAATATGGGTGGTTTGTGAAGCCATAACAAACTATATTAGAGTTTCTCTTTGGGATGGGCTGATGTTTCAGTTTTCAGACTTGAAAATCTGTGAGGCCCACGATTGAGCTAATTTCTCAAGCACTCCTTCATAGAAATTTTGCCAGTTTGGGGAAGCTTAGAGTGTAAGGTTGTCACTATTGATTTTCTGACCACGGAGTTTGCAATTGCTCTTTGCTAGTGAGACCTTATTAATCTGGCTAGTTCCACCAGTTTCTGCTCAAATTAATTTGGGTTATCTTTGCTTCCAAAAAGGAGAAAGAATAGAATTAATTTGCTATTCCTGATAAAAGTTAGAGATACATAATGATGATGTTATGTTTATATAGGGTGTAGATTTCTAGGCAACATAACTAGCGACATCAATGGAAATGATTTAGAGATGGTTATCTTAGGTGATCAGTAGGACCAGGATCCTTTGAACAAAGCTCAACAGCATGTAGATTTGTGTGGCTGGCCCCAAATGGTTAGGATGTAAGACCTTAGTTGATATTTATTATATTGTGGATGACCTAAGCCCTTAAATATTTCAAAAACATCTCATGATTATATCCAACTTAATTTGGTAGAGTGGTGGCCCATAATATTGTGACTTTTTCTACATGGAGAATTGTGTTTTCTCAAAATTTTGGCTTTTTGGGCTTTGGTTATCAAAATTTTTGAGGACTTGCCGTTGTTTTGCATAATGCTTGAGTGGAGAGCTTATGATTTATTAGTAGACTTTATATGTTGTTTAAAGCATCTCTTGTGGTGTTGTGTTGTTTGCCTATTTTGGGCTGGACGACCGACTACTCCACCTCTCCTTTTCCTTAAGCAATCCTAGGAAGTACGGATACGAATATGAATATCAAATTTGATACGATACAGACTCAAAGATACGTCAAAATTCGAAAATATAAGACATGGGTATAACAAAGATACAATTAATTAAAATAATATTATATATTTTTTAGATAATAACAAAATTGTAATATATTAAAAACAAAGCATATTTAATAAAAAATATTCATAATAAGAGCTAGCAAATATTAATTTTATTATTAAAATTGAAATAGATCAAAATAAACTACCATTTTCATCAAACATCATTACATCCATTAACATTCATACTATAAATTAAATAACAAAAAGTATAAAAACAAAATAAAGAAATCTTACACCCCTCTTAATAGTTAATAGTTTTGAGATTAAAAAAAATATCCTGACCATGTCATGGCCATGTTCTACTGAAAAAAAAAATCAATTTTGCTATGCTGGCCATGGATGTGTATCCGACACTACCACGGCACCCCTCTAGTAAGTATCCGTGCTTTCTAGATACAATCCGTTCTCATCAATATAATTCTTTTGTTTGGTAGAAAAAAATTATTGATTCATAAGAATCTTGTTATGTTTTGCCAACTACTCGTCCAATGGTTCATGGAGAGGCTAATTACCTTATAGAGACAATGGAGTCATTTGGCACTCCAGTTTGTTTTTTAATGGTGCTTATAATGCAAAAAATTTTGACTTTTGTCATTTGCCTGGTTATATTGCAGTGAACAACCCAAAAAAATCTGGACCAACGCTCAATGAGACATTCCTTGGTCTACTTTATCCAACCGAAAACTATAAAGTGCAAGTATCTTGTGGTTTTATCATATGCTTAGTTGGCTACTCCAAGACTCACATACCATTCCTTCAGAATGAAGGGCACAGGGGAGGCGTCTAGCCATACCTTATTCAGATGAAAGAGATCCAAGAAGATCGGCCTTGAGACATCCACAAAAGGGAACGACTTGAATTGGAGCTTGCAGACTGTAGTACCATTGTCGGGAGGAGCAGCTCACCATGTAGTTAAAATTATTTCGTTATTCGGGGGAGGCCTACCATAAAGGTCACGTTGATATTAGAAACGTGGGGTTGCAAGTAAAAGGAAGGGAAGGCAGATATGAAAATCCTAACAAAACAAAACCATGACTTTAAACACAAGCTCCAGAAAAAAAGGATACATAGGGCAGAGAAATCTCTACATCAAGTAATGAATGAGCTATTCGTCCCGGGAAAAGCCAACTCACTTCTCATTATCAAGCTACCAGTCACCTTAAGGGATCACGCATATTGATATACACAAAAAAAAGAAGAAAAATAAATGGATTTGTGTCCTTGTATTTGCATACTTCAGTCCATGTGTCTGCAATATTTCACCATACTGTTCACTGTCTGCAGGTATGGTTATTTGACTAACACGAAAGTGAAGTTCATATTGGTAACGACAGATCTTGATGTCCGAGATGCAGATGTGAGAAATGTGAGTATTACTGTGTTATTGTGCACTGATGTAGTTTCAGTCTTGTTACTTCAAGCTGTCGTCATGTTGTTATATACTTTATTCTGATGAGCAGAACGCTATAATGCACACACCCATTTATTTTTGTGTGTGTTTATATATATGTATTTGTATATATCTGTGTGTGTTTGTGAAATAAAGAACATCTGTTAACATCACAGGTAAGCTTACCTAGATACCCTACCCTCTTAAGAAACTTTTAAGGCAAAATTACAGTTCAGTCAAAACCACTCAATGCCTTTCTTACCCACTGAGGCACTGACGGAACAACTAAATAAATGACACAGTATCATAGACATGGCCCAGTAAAACCCTGACAGGGACAACTGAGCATCCAGTATGCCTGGCAACAGAGCATTCTAAGAGCAGGTGGTTATTATTTTTTGCTCTTCCTCCTTACATCTAAAAAAACTGTTCTACCAATGACCTCAGTCTTCGAGAGATAGAGAGAGAGACACACACACACCCCCGCACAAACCCTGTAGGCATTTCCACAGGAGTTCAAGCTGCCTTACAGTATTCCATGGTTCTTCTATAACAAAACAGGGGCAGGGAGAAGAAAATTCCACAATATTTACAGGAATTTGTTGAGCTTCTCACAGGGTTCAGGTATATATACGTACAAACGCACTCTTACATGTGCGCGCGCACACACACACACACAAATCTATATAGTGTAATTAGGTGGTTGGTTGAGGGCATTCCTTTCTTTTTCTTGAAGAGGTATATGCATCGGTATCTGTATAGCCTGGACTTGTTTTTGGGGAGGATGGTAGGATTGGAGGAAATGCTAATTTGGTAACTCAAAGGCACCCTAATAAGTTGTGGTCTGATTTCTAAATCAATCTAGCATTTAATTTTATGGACACTGAGCGAAACTACCGTTTCTAATTGATGTGATATTCCTCAGTCCTCAGTGGCCAATCCGAACTCAACTTGCATTACCACTTCTATGTTGAGAAGTTTGCTGGTTCTGTTCCGTTATTGTGCATACAATCCATGTGAACCTTCTTGTTCCATGCACTAATTATGGTGTTCCATCCTCAGCACACATATGATGATCCTTAGTATTTGTTGCATTTTTTCTGGTTGGGACACTAGTTTGACCAAATTGAGTGGGATTTCTGGAATTTTGAATATGTTTTAACTGTATATGCTGGTTCTGTTTTTTCTTCTTTTAGTTTTTTTGGTTATAGGATATATCAACAAAAATTTTAAACATGGAATCTAACTTCGCTTTTTGTTTTGATGAAAACTACTAAAATAGTTTTTCGGGAGGTTCCATGCTGCATATGTGGATGCAGTTTCCAACCCATTTCATGTTCCAGGTAAAAAGATAACCTCCAGAACTTTTGCTGAAAGGGTCAGTAACATAGTCAAGTCATTTGGGTTCAGTTCTGCTGGATGACATACTGCCACTGGTGAAAGACTTGAAACTTTCTGGTCCTCCTCCATTGAACTGGTGGAAACTGCTTTTTTCTTTCCCCTGGTACACATGTACGTTTATTTGCAGCTAAATTTGTAGTTAGAGTAACTCAATCAAATTGAGACCGAGATAAATCATTTAAACAGATTTTGTAACATATGCTGCTCTACCATGAGGACTCAAAATCAAAATTGTACGAGAGCTGAAGCTATTGTGTTATTTCTCCCAGCTTGATAGTATTTATTTCTGAATTTTTGGAGATTCATAGCCACATTTTTTTTGTCATGGAAGCTAAAAGAAATTTGGACAATGTCCATGAGAGCACCACATACCCATCTTCACCAAGGAATTGCCAAACTACTTTGTCTGACTTCTGTACCACGGACATTTTAGCTGTAGGCGAATGCCAGAAATATTTTTTTTTCAATGCTATTGAACCCATTGTGATTTTGGTCGTTTCCCCATTTTCTCTCCAGGAGGATTTTATTGATGTGAGCCCAGGGGAACATGTCTCCTCACGCGGGAAAAATAAAATAAAAGGCATTCAAGAAGTCAGGGAAAAGGCATCCGATATTCCCTAGAAAATCAAGAGGTGACATTGCTACAGAGTAATTGTGTGCCAGTTCTCCCTGTAGCAAATATTTTGTTTACTATTCAATCAATCTAACAAGAAATAGAGGCTTAACACAGTCTAGTGAGGTCGGGTTAAGTTGGGGCAAATTATAAGCTTAAATGTTCTAAATTTAATCCTCGTTGGTGGCTCTCTAGTTTCTGTGTTGCGGAAAAAAAGAAGAAAGAGAGGTTTGCCATCAACTTGATCTCTCAATGCAGCAAAAACAAAAGAAATTATTAGAAGGATGATAAACGGGGGCAGGAGTCCAAATAGAATTCAAAAGAGCACAAGAGTCATTGCTCAGACTTATAACAGGAACAGTAGCACCATGGGAAAATAAATCAACAGCTATGACAGATGATAGTCGTTTTTGTCGTTGGAAAGCAAAATATCCCTGTAGAACGAGAAAGCACTGGAAGATGCTCACAAAGAGTATCCAAATGCCAGTGGACATCATTAGAAATCATCGTCGTCCTCCTCAGCTATATGTTTGGCAAGCTCTTGCTCCTGCTGTTGTCTCTCTCTCCTCTTCTCAGCACTTTCTTTCTCCTTGTGAGAATTTGGTGGAAATCGAAGAGCACGCACTGCTTCATTGTGCATATTGAGGCAGAAAGCAATCCTTGAGTTGAATGCAATTTGAGGTTCATTTGTCGAGTAAATATCCCCAGTCTCCTTCGATACCATCCACCCATTTGCATGATCCAACATTGCATCCACTGCACCATCACGGATTGCCTTGGCTACGATACTCTCAGCATCAGCAACAGGGTTTGCAGAGTCCAATCTCAGCTTCTTGGCTACATCAACCAATGAGATGCGGGAATATGAGATACTGATGTTTCGGAGCCCAGTTCTTATGACATTATGCCGCAGCCTAACAATCAAGTTGTGGGTCCCATCCGATTTGAAAGTGCTCGAAAACTTCTCAGCAACGTTTCTGAACAGCTCTAAATCTCCAATTCGAACAGCCTGAAAGGCCCACATATCGAAAATCAATGGCAGACCTAATGGAGGACATGTTGTGCACAAATGAACAGCATATGCGTTACCATTTACCACTACTCCAAAAAAGACCTTATTTTTGTAATGGTAAGAAAGTTATTTGTTTAAGCCACGTATTCATAATCAAACAGCACAACCTAGCCCCAATATGTCTCGGAACTTGATAAGACTACGAGGGAGAAATGTAGTTGACAAGGAAAATGTTAAAGTTTGAGCAACCAGACTTACATTTGTAAGCTCAAAATATGGCCTCAAAGCCTTCTCCATGCCTTTCTGCATAAAAACAGTCCTCTCAGGGATCTCTCCTAGCAGTAGGCGGACTATCACAGCCCACTTATTGCATTGAATCCGGAACCCAAGAGCTGCAACAGGGGCTTTCCGAGCAGCTTGGAGGAGGGACTCTCTTGCATCTGTATACTCCAACTGAATTGTCCTAATCTTTCCAAGGTAAAAGAGGTACCGGCAGAACTGAAAGAACAGAAAGACAAGGTTACAACAAGCAGATACGGAGACTAAACATTTTATTCAAAGAGTGGATATGAAACAGGCATGAATCAAGCCATAAAAGAATGCATTAATCACAAATTATGTTAGGGCCTCTTCATTGGCGTCAATCCCAAACACTCACACAGAGCAGCTGAACTATTAAAAGTTCCACTCTTTATGTACCTTTGTGAATCAATATTTGCTGAACTGAAAAATGCTATAAAAAGACAATGGATTGGATAGATAATCTAAGCATTTCGCAGAAATACAAAACCACCTCCCATTCTCCCCTTCATATGGTAAAGGGGAAAGTAGTCAGCAGACATCCATGTAACCAGAAAGGTTCAATAATTCACTATTTCAGGTTTTTGATAGTAACCAAAATTTCAAATTTGTCAGGAAAATTATAATGATACCCCTACAATTCTAATAAAACAACATGAAGACCCCTAACATTTGGAAAAGGACACAGAGATACCATTGGAGTTTTGAGTGGAAGTTGTCAACAGTGCCTAGAATAATTACTTAACAGTGTAGAGTAATTACTAGTTTACCTCTTATTTACTTGAGAAAACATATTTAAAAGTCATCAAATGGAGAAAAATGTGGAATTAAAACTTATATCTCATTGATGTCCAACACTAAAAACTCAAGAGGACCCGTGTCATTTTCCAAAATGACAGGGGGCCTCGTGTTTTGCCAGTGACTGTGTAGGTTATGCTAAATTTTATAGTTTGTTCACCAAAGTTTCCCACTACTATGATTAAAAACTCACGCTTTTATGGCTTAACCTTCTAATCTAATACTAACATATTCCTAAGTTTCTCGTTTCTTCCCATATATTTCTACATACATACACAGTATAACCTTGATGCTCAGGTCCTGCTATGAATTCTATCAGAATGTCCGTAGCTCACAACCTTGCATCAAACATGTTAAAAATAACTATGAGGGCGCTGATCGCCTGGAAAAAAAGAGAAGAAGAAAAAAGGTCATGTAGAATCATTAATGTCCAACGCAAGACAGCTGTCATATGCTGCAACCAATCATCCCATTAAAACTACACCAGGTGCATACAACAGTATTGTGCATTAAAAAAGACAGACAATTGTGTTAAGAATTACTTGGTGATTTGAGTGAGCTTCAAAACGAGGTGCCTTTGACCTCAGCTTCTCTGCCTGATCATATAAATTGTAGTGGAGGTAATTCCGAAGCAGCAGGTTGAGAAGTGTTTCCTGCATATTTGCCATCATACAAAGTATGAGATGCCAGTACCATGACATCATGTAATTGCTGTTTCAATTGGCAACAAACCTGCCCCAACTCATCATGTCGCAATGTTGCAATCCGGTGTAATGCAAGAAGGTTACTGATGAATGAGAGTTTAAGTTAGACAGAGACCAAAAAAATACAAGGAGAACGAATAAGACATAAAAAGTCTGACAAAGAATGAATGTCAAGAAATTAGAATGAATAGTATTCAGCTCTAAAGTGCTACTTCGTCCGACAGTGTGTCGCCACATATGTATGCATTCAGCACTCTAGAATATACAGAATCCTCATATATGGCTGCAAGCTAAAATATGCAGTGCCAAACCTCACCCCCGAATTTCAGCAAGATTGCCAGTCGCTTCATAGCTAAGGGGAGTAGTAGAAATAGAGCCTGGATGCTAGAACATCAACAGTCCGCCTATTCAAGC